AATAACAAAAGATGTGTTAACCCGGTTTGGTGAAAATCACCTACACATGAGATTGTAAATGTCCTAACAACAGGTCACAACATTGTTTTCTGCATAACTTTAAAACATAGACAGAATAAGCAAGCTGATACTCTAAATATCAACAACAGAATCATAACAGATGTTTCAACATCTGTTATAACATGTTAATCAAAAAGGCAAATACTGAACTTTAAATTTGCAGAATAATAAATAACACAAGATATGTTAACCTAGTTGGGTGAAAATCACCTACATCTCGGGGCTACCAAGCCAGGAAGAAGAATCCACTATCAGTAGTATAGTTTTATGTAAACAACCTCTGGTTTACAGTAAACAACCTCCGGTTTACCTATCACTACCCAATGAAAACTTTATCATTAAAAGTCATATCTAATTGATAAGAGAAACCCACCTCACTCCATTAATCACAACCTGTGATATCTAACAGTTATAGTCACAATAACTGTATCATCCTACTTGAAAGATACCTCTTTCAATACAAAGTTCAACCAAGCAACCTTGACTAACAATCTATTGGATTTGCTTCAAAGCTGCATCCAAGAATAACACATGATTCATTACCTACAGGTTTCTGAATCAGCATAAACATTTATGTCTACCATATTGTATCAAACCGATACAAAGGGTGACTTACAACACAAGAAAGCCTACAATTCTCAAACTCTAAACCCTTATTTCCCTTTACAAAAGTGTTACAGGAGGTTCAGTTTTTCATCCCTAAGTCTAGGTCTTCCTTTTATAATTTTTAGCAGTCCATGGGCTTCGAAATATTTGTTCAATTATTCCTTGATCCATGCCTCAAATCTTAGAACAAACTGCAAATATTTTGCTGAAACAAAATCATGTACATCAGTAACAGGCACGATGTCCTAACACCGTGTTGGGACATCTTATCCAACATGTCTTCTTTCAGCAGAATGCTTTTTGTTGGAACACCCCAAATAGTTATGACCAAGACTGGTATGAAATTCTTAATACATGATGTAACACCCCAAATATATCCCGCGTAATTTAAATATAAATTAGAGTAAATTAAAGCAATAATATTCACGATGTCCTAACACCGTGTTGGGACATCTTATCCTACATGTCTTCTTTCAGCAGAATGCTTTTTGTTGGAACACCCCAAATAGTTATGACCAAGACTGGTATGAAATTCTTAATACATGATGTAACACCCCAAATATATCCCGCGTAATTTAAATATAAATTAGAGTAAATTAAAGCAATAATATTCAGGATGTCACACAAACCACAAAACAACTTCTCATATAATATGATATGTAACACATGCAACTTTTAAAAATTATTTATAACAACCAAACATGTCTAAAATATCATTTTTTATTGAAACAACATAAGCATCGAGATCCAATAATTATTCATAACATAACTATATTTTCAAAATAAATATAAGCATCCACAAACTCTAGAGATATCCAAAAATCTGCATCAAAACATAACAGACATATCGTTCCATAACCTCAGTGTTACACATCAGAGCAGACAGCGATACAAAAAATAAAACGGAAGACGTTATCTTCCACTCACATCAACGGTGACATAACATGACGTCCATGTAACGGCAATATTCAAACAGAAGGGGTGAGATATCATAATTATATAAAGGAAAACATGATAATAAGCAAGCATTAGATTATCACATGCACATCACCCAATCCACGACATACATTCACACAACCAACACAAACCAAAATCCAACCACAACCACAAATACAACTAAGATGCAATACATTAAGACTCACAACTTGACTTAATGCATATGATTCCATTCGATTCCTATTTCAGAACCTAATCCCTTTTTCAGAATCACAATTTCTGTCAGAATTTTCATTTCGTCGCTCAAACCCCACATGGGCACACGACTCCATGATCGCTTACACCCACATGGACACACAATCACCTCAACAACAACATGATTCTACAACTAGAATCTGGGTAAGACGCCACGCCCAACATGCGCACATGGCTTATCTCACAACTCATGCAATCATGAAATACATGACAAAGCCATTCTCTAATGGTAAGCTTATTCTTCTTATATTTTTTCTTTGTATTTGTTTCCTAGTGAAGCACATCAAGTCTAAAACCATCTTCGCTGTATGGAAACTTAAATGTGGATACTGATAAGCAAAAACATAATGTTGTTCCTAAGTTTCAATTATGTTGTGGAAATGGTAAAGTTGTGTTGTCACTTTTAAGCGTTCCTAAGCATTATGTTTTTAGACTTGGTGGAAATGATGCTATGACTCAATTTCATTTGATTTAAATATGACAAGTCTAATGTCTAATTAAAGAAAAAACATAATGCTTAGGAACAGATACAAGTCTAATGTCTAATTAAAGAAAAATTATTTAAAGCGAATAAAATAATAAATGGAATAAATTTTATCGAGTTGTGTTTTTTGAAATTTTAAGAAAAAAAAGATAAAATTAAGTCAAAGTACAATCCAAAAATTTTACAGAATTTTACAGATTTCAGATGTTATTTTATCCATGTTACTTAAAAGATCTAAAGTCTGAAGTTTGGAAAGGTTTTCAAGTTTTGATGGTATTTTTTTTTTGTTGTTGAGATGTTATTCTACAGCAATCTACGCTCAACCAATAAATTCAAATCAAAACACTAACAATTCCACAAATAGAAACAGAAAAACTGTTAAAGTTCCAACGATTTGTATTTACAAGCGATGTTATCACACCTGTTGATTATTCATGCCTCTTTCTCGTAGATGTGTGTTGAAGAAAATAACACCTTCAATATTATACCAAAAAGTGAAACACACGCTTAAGCTACGATTAAGTGAAAATATAAAAATAAACTACAATTATAGCGTACAAACATCAATGAAGAAGATATACATCATCAATTTGAGAAGGCATTACAGTGTAAACTTATTGCATAAATATGAATACGACTGACTCGACAAGTATGTCACATCATTGCTCCATTGAAGAACATGTTTCCACATTTTCATAGATTAAGCACATAGTTAAATGCTCAGAAATAACAGGTGCTGAGAAACACTATTTATTGCAACTATATGCAGTTTGATATTCCAAATATTTAAAGTATGAGAGAATGGTTAAAGATTAATTGTCATGAAAAAAGATAAGATTTAGATTTTAGGAGGTAAAAAATCATATGTATAAATTGAAGCTTCACAAGTAGCCACTAGTATGTTTGAAGTGTTAGCCATAAGTGTCTACACTTCATGACATATTCTTTTCGGCCATCAAGTAATGTCACAAATAATATTTTTTTTTATGTAATTACAAAACAAAACTAACAAATTAAAAATAAAAAATAATAAAAAAGGTTCATTGATCAAAGAAACATCACAAATAAATATCGGTGATTCAGATAAATATTAAGTATAAAGAGTTGAATGGAGGAAAATTAAAAAGCATAACTCACAAATTCATATATTTTTTTCCTTTTGATACTCCCACAAATTCAAAAACATAGAAACAATACTAATATCTTCGACATATTTTCAAACCCAAAAAATCGAAAGCTTCCATTTTACAGCAAACTGATGAACCCTACGGACATGAAATGGAAGCTTGTAGAAAATTGAAAAAGTCATGCATCAATTATTTTGAGTCCAACTATCACCACACTCACTGTCGGAAAGGCATTTCCGCCACCATAAATCTATCACCGCGAAACCGCACACCGTTTTAAAACTGTCAGACATGCCATAGTTGCCGCCGTCTCCCCAATTCTGATTGATACCCGTTTTCTATTTCTTGATTTCACTTTGATCTATACTTTTGGTTTTTGTTTGCAAGAGAGATGGAGTGAGATTTGTGGTCAAAGAAAAAAAGAATTATTGTGTCGTTGTCTTGGCTAAACCATTTTCGTAAATAGAGAAGCTTAAAAAAGAGGAAGAGTGAGATCAAAAGTGATGTGATGAGACATTAGTAAAAGAGAAAATCTGATAAAGTTGAATTGAATTGGTTGGTTTAAAACCAAAAAGAGTGTAAACCGGTTCAAAGCATAGTTAAACTAAAAGAAAATAGAAGATTCAACAACTAAATCGGTTGGAATTGCTAATTTGGTTTAAAAATTAAATTTTTGAACCAAATTTACCTCCATAATGGAGACGCGGTAGATTTAGAGAAAATAGCAAAGATGAATTTTCTACAACATCTAATAAAATATGTAATTTTCTTATATTATAGATGAATCCATTAGATATCTAATTTTCTTATACTATGGATGAATAAATGTATGCAATCTAATGCATTCCTCCAATAATTGATTATATTCTTAGTTTGCTGCTACTATGGTATAAATATAATTAACTGAACCATATTAATAAACTAAATTGCATTGTACTAAAGAAAAATTAAAATGATTAAGTGAACCATTTATTTTAAACAATTCAATTAACCAAACTAACTTTAAAAAACCTGTTTGAACTTTTAAAAATGTTTCACAAAAATATGTTTTACAACTCTCCAAGTATAATGCAATTAGAAAAGAGAAAATTTCTCTGACTTGTAGTATATATACCGAAAGAAAAAGGATCAGGATTTGTTGCAGTAAATAATACACATGAAATACACAATTCTCAAGCTCGATCGTTAATTTTACACATGCATGAACACAACAAGTCTTTCAAATAAACCCTTGCAAATATACAATCTTGCTCTCTAACTTTGTACTTCCATCTATGCAGATGTACAACATAATTACAAAATCAGAAGAAAACATGCAATCACAGAATTTATCATCCGGAGAGAAGGAAAAAAGCTGAGGAAACATCACAATCTCACAAGCAGAGTACACAACAGAAACCCTATAATCTCCGGATTTTGGTGCAAGAATTATACTCACTCCCTTGTATATTTCTCTAGAATGTAGTTCTTTACAACAACTTCATTAGGGGGGTATCAAGTTACAGCATGTTTTGTTAAAACATCTTAGAGACTCAGCCAAATGGTGAAGATACAGGTCCTGCAATAGCATCAGACCTTTTGATGCTTCCCATTCCACACACGATGCATCCAGGTGCAGTCACAGCCGAAAATTTGGCCCCACAGAGATCACACACATCATATCCAATGGTAGACAGCCTGCTTAAAGTGGCAGCACAGAAATGTGAGGGATCTTCTAAGGGATCAATGGACTTGTTAGTCAAGCCCCTCTGAACACACAGATCAACCAGGCTCCTAAATTCTTCCTGCTTGTTTGAAGGTGCTTTAGACAGTAGTAATTCTAGCATTTGCTTTGAGTATGCATAGTTTTGGACCTCCATATTCCTTTTGATGGCAGTTCGGATGCAATTTATTCTGTGTTTAGCAAGAAGAGGCAATGATCCAAGATGACGTGAAAGTCTTGCCATCTCATCTTTTGCACTGATTACACTTGGGCCATGGACTCTTTGCAGACGTCCTATTTCCTGCAATAATATAAAAGATTTTCAGTCATCTCATGTATTACAAAACCCAAGTGAAAATAATTAACGAGGTTCAGGTCTAACAAAGAAATTGTCCACGTCTGACCGATTGCTATACCATGCATAATCAAATAGTTTCAGCTCAATCTATAGTGTGGATAATGGCTTTTTTTCTATCTTGAAGCTTTAGTCCAAAACTAGAGTCCGGTGTTCACAGATGATAAGTTGTAAAATGAAATGAACTAAAAGAAAATTAAGAGGCTGGGTCTCCATATTAATTAGGGGAAAAATATGTATTCTCTTCATGTATATTCAGATGAACTGAAAATGTTGTGGAGTTGTTTTGGCTATTTCGGGAGTGAGTCGACAACACCCCTTACAACAACATGCAACAAAAAAGTCAACGGCACTGAGGACATCTTATATCAGTTTCTCTGATACTACAGGCTTATGGCCTAGAGAAACAACAGCTCATGTACTATTTTATTTTTATTTTTGCTTATTATTATTGGCAAGATTTCAATTCTATCTGTGTTCTTTAAAATTACAGAATTGTATTAGTACCCGAAGAAGAGTGACTGCTATTTTGTATTGAGCACAAATTGTCGCCTGAGCTTTAATATCACTTCCACGAGATTGCTCCTTAGCCAGTGCAAGAAAAGATTCATCAAAGCAAGACAACGCATCTGAAAGATGGTTTAGTTCCAAGTGGGCAAGTCCAGTCTTGAAACATACAGCAGCAGGAGCCCCGCGGGGAACCTGTTATTAGAAAATTCATTAGATTGGAGACTGAAGAGACAATACAAGCTACTCAGATTCAATAACCATGTCATTATCATAGGAAAAAAAAAAAACCTATCATATATTACCAACACATGCAATATATAGCTAAATCATAACATTTTTCTCAAGAAACTATCATAATTTCTTTTATAGTAACCATGGAATCATGATAGGAAGAACAGGAAAAGGAATGTTCATTTCAGTTTCTTGTAGATACCAATTTAATTCATAACATTGAAATTCTGCATTCCTCCTCATATTCTTCCTAATACAAAATAATGAGCAAAACTGTGATTGAGAACCATAGAACCTCAAACCAAGAAATAATGTTGTGTACACCAATTGACTTGTATGTATCTCTTGTGCATGTATGTATTATACCTGTCCAGGATGCACGGAAACTGGTGCAGTACCAGTTTGTGGAAGCTTCCCTGAATCAGCAGAATTTGGTACTCCAAGTACACTAAGGTCAAGAGGCTGGCTAGAAAATTGAGGCTGAGCAGGCTGCAGTTGAGATTGTGGCGTGACTACAGCCTGAGGCATGGATTGGGGTGGGACACCACCATCAGGAAGTCCTATGGACTCAATTGGAACAACAGGTTGTTGAATGGCTTGAGTGGAAACACCACCTTGAAAGCTAGAAGCAGCTTCAGCAGCACCTTGATTTGGAGTTGTATTGCTTGTTTGAACCCCTGGAGTGAATTTTGAGAGAAAAGTTCCAGCAGGAGGCAGTGATGCAGCAACATGAACAGAAGAAATTGTATTCTGAAAGAAATCCTCTGGAATAGGTGCTGTTGTAACTCCCCCACCTACAAGCCCAGTAGTAGGCTGTGAAATTAATTCTGGTTGAGTTGAGGCTTCTGTACCGAAAAGGTCAACAGGAGTTGAAACAGTAGCAGAAGCTGCTCCTGTAGTTGTTGGTGGCAGGGACAAAATCTGGCCAAGATCCTGGCTTCCGCTGTTTGTCCTGGTCCTCATTGGTGGAGGTAACCCTTCACCAAGTTTAAACTGTCTAGTGGCTTCTTTAATCTTATTCACATCCACAGTAGAAGAGGAAATTGGTTTGTCATGTATTTTAATGTGTATTCTTTTAATTTTGGATACTCCTTCTTCATCACTACTGCTACCATCATCAGCAGCTCCGTACATAGATTTCTTAAATTCTTCTTCGGCTTTAGCCTGCTCATCAGCAGATGAACTGGCAAGCTGTTTGTTAAGGCTTCCCAGACCCATCAATGAATCACCTTTGGGATCACCAACCACATTCGGTAGATTAGATATGGATTTAACTGAAGATGCTTCAAGACCATTTACTTTATTGTCATTACCTGCTGGCATGAAGGCCTTAACCAAACTACCTTCCCTCACTTCAACAATATTACCCCTTCCTTTAATTGAGCCTAAATACACACCAATATGATCTACAATAATGGACGGAATTGTTCCATCATCAGTCTTCATGTATGGTGTCACTTCTGCAGCAAGCTCCCATTGAGGTATGTCCTTCACAGTGGTTGGGGTTTTAATTTCCCAGTTTCCACCACCCCATTCGGGTCCTTTTGGAACCATACTCTCAGCAGCAAAGTTGGCAAATATACCTTGTGTCCATCCAGAAGATCGAACTCGTAATATCCTTTCACAATATCGCCTCAATTCGGAGTCAAGGCCTTCGTCTTCCAATTTCTGAGCAATACGCCGCATGGCGCTGGGATTAAGGTGGCATATAAATAGATCAAGCATGCCTTCATAATCCGCTATAACTTCAAATGTTTCTTTTGCACTATCAAATTGGCCAAACCTGCAAGTGGCATTATATTATAAAAATAACAAAAACTTGTATATCATGCTAATTACTACAATACCACTACAAACCACACAACAAATCATCAATTGTCTTAATGCTGCTAAGTCATCATCTCCCCTATCTGCTTGATTTTCTTCTGTTTACAAGGTTAACTTTGTATAAAACTTACATTTTTCATTGTCTTTTAGTTCACAATATATTTGGCATTTATGCAGAGGCCATCCTGATGGTCATTCCTTAACTTGTTTTAGACCATTGTAATATTCCCATTGAAAATAAAGATGTTTCTACCATTTGCACTCCTTGTTGTATGGGTTAAGATGTATAAGAGAAAATTAGTAAGCGACAGTTGTCCATCTTTAGTGCAGGAACCAGCCATAAAAAGCTGACTTTCACCTTATTATAACAGATTGAGATTCATAATAATAGAACCAAATAACCATTTTCTACTCTTAGATTTCTCTGAAACCTTACTACATTGTCCTATGGCAGAGGATCTGATTGAATGCTTGCTATGTATTTCCCTTTCAAAGGTATTATTAGGAAATGGATCCCAAGAAGGTTCAGAGTCCCTGGCGCTTACCTATAACTTTGGAAACCATCGAGGCCAAGGTTGTGGTATAGGTAAGGACAACAAGAGAGGAACGGAATCAGCTAAAACCTTTTTATGGCCGCACACTTATTCGAGAATAGGTCACAATCATTGAATTTTAGTTAAGAATCTATTGTGAGATGCAACAGCCATTAAAAAACTATTAAATAAAAACTACTATTTTCTTGTCTAGAAAAATATGCATCCATTAATAGATTAGCTAATGGTTGGTCTTAGAAAATAAAACCTAAACAAATTAATATAGACACTAAAAGGCCTTGGAACAAGAAATAATTGAAGTAAACCTGTAGTAAAAGGAACACAATATCCCATAAGTACAATGGCAGCATCATATGCATAGTGACAATTCCCAGTTTGCCTACCTGATACACGCATAAGCCAACTGCCTGAACTGGTGAAACAAATGAGATGTGGGAGGACATCTTGGATAATCTCTGGAACGCAGAAATTCATCTTTCAAAACAGATAAAGCAGTGGAAAAACGAAGAGCATTAACAGCATAGACACCTCGCATCACCTATGATCATATTTTCAACGTGTTCAGTAGTCCAGAGAGACCAATGCTAAATTGATAAGACAGAATCCAAATGCTAACCTGGGTGAACTGTGGACCAGATTGTGATAAAGAGACAGCTAAATTTCCACAGACCGTAGATCCTCTTGCAAGGATATCCAGAGACCTAGGTGTTATGCGCAAGCTGTCGAACCTTCAATCAGAAATGAAGTTAATGTGTCAGTTTTATCATCTTTAATATACATTTAATTGAGATAAAATTAAAAGTGCTCTTAAAGCCTAAAACTAGCATTTTTTCCAAAAGATGCAACTAGATGAGTTATGTTACCAGTTTGGTTCAAGTTGCATAGTATTTTCAAAAATGGTATAAGTATTTATTTAAGTAAATGGAGTATTGTTCTTAAAGCACCACCAACCATGTTCCACACTAGATATATATTGTAGGGTGTGATGCAAGTGCCATATGGATGATGCAGGAACTAAAAGGAAAAACACTAAGGATGTTCATTGGGTCAAAACACTTATTTACCTCGCTTCAATGATATAGAGGTTCCCAAGGTTATGTCGGTTCCATAAAATCAAATTAGTATATTTATTATTTAGAGCAACAAAATTAAAAAGGAAATGAAATAAATTCGAAGTAAAATATGCAAGAATTTAATAACAATTTGACATAAGTTTGAAGTGAAATATGGAAGAATAAAGGTCAACCACTTGATAGAATAGACATCGACAATGCATTCTAGGTGTTGGACTTTCCGCCTTAATTGTGGTCCGCCCCTAGTCGCCTTAATTGCGGCTCTTTGGCTTGCCTCATTGCAGCCCCTAACACCTTCATTGTGTTAGCTTTGAAGGGGTGGATTTAGTCCCACATTGCTTAGTGATATGGTCTGTGTTGTGTTTATAAGTGGGGGTAATCCTCACCTTACAAGTTGGTTTTGTAGGGATGAGTTAGGCCCAACCCAAATTCTGAGATGGTATCAGAGCCTGTCCTAGATCTATTGTTGGGCTTCCGCATCGTCCACGCTTTGGGCTCATTGAGGCCCAAGCGTGAGGGGGTGTGTTGGACTTTCCACCTTAATTGCGGTCCGCCCCTAGTCGCCTTAATTGCGGCTCTTTGGCTTGCCTCATTGCAGCCCCTAACACCTTTGAAGGGGTGGATTTAGTCTCACATTGCTTAGAGATATGAGACTAGGAAACCCTCTTAAATGAACAACCTTCACAAAATTAACATGACACGTAGAAAGCTTGATATCTTTGGCAATGAATATTTGTGGATTGGCTTGTCAATGGCATTGGGTTACATATCTTGTGATTTATGAGATACATATATTTCCAATTTAAAACTCAGCACATGATTAGATAGAGAAGATTATCTTAATATTAGGGAAAAAAGACTTATGACTATAGGACACAACTTTGGGTTGCATATCTTGTGATTTATGAGGAGCATATATTTCCAATTTAAAACACAGCACATGACTAGATAGGAAATATTATCTTAATATTAGGGAAAAAAGACTTTGACCATAGGACACAACTATAAAACAACATAGCAAAAATAAAAGACCCAAACCAAAAGCATGCCATATGGCCACAACAATATATCATGTGATAATATCAAAATGGATCATGCTCACAAAAAATACATGGGTTGAGTAATGAAAAGGAGCTGTCTCACAACGGCAAAACATGATTTCTCCTTGGGTAAAACCTCCAGGGAGAGTTGGAATCCTGGAGCTGACCCTACTCATTTATGGCATGGGAATATAACACCTTAACTATTTCTAACGATTGATGACTTCAGCTAAAAAATTATATTACAAAGGAACCTTGCTCTTCATGGCTTTGAGCTATGACTCTAATTAGGGGGGAAAAAACTTACTCTTAGATTTGTGATTGGACTTAACTCAATCTTACAAAACCGGCTTGTTAGGTGAGAATTTCCCCCACTTATAAACATATATTCGATAAAATGTTTTTGTAAAAATACTAACATAAGTTTTTACATGCAGTCATGAGACTTGCAGTGACCCAGTTCATTTACACCATATTGAGAAACTTTTAACTTTCAGGAAACTAGTAATATTCTCATCAAATTGCATCTGTTGGATAAAATGGGCATAAAAACTTCAACTATACAGAAATAAAGTTGTCTAATTCAGAAAAAATGTCAATTTTCAAATGTATAAAAGAAGGAAACCTCGACGTTATTTGATATAATATTTCTGACAGATCAAGCTTCTGCTCAAAGCTTCGCTGCATTGTGGCAAATCCAATAAGAATTGGTTCAAGAAGACCAACAAGGCAACTTTTGATCTCTACCCCCTTCTTCTGTCTGGGATTTATCTCTGTAGGGCTCGCGAGCAACAATCTGTCATTCAAAGCCCCAACCAAGACTGCAAAATAAATTCATATAAATAGATCAGTATGGTAATGGATGGATGGATAAGATATTGTTACATCCCAGTATATTTTACCTGCATATGGCATACTGACTGATAAGATAGGCCTCACTTTTCCATCCCAACCAAGTATACTTATGGCAGTAGTAGTAGAGAAAAGAAGGGCAGGCCCAACCCACAAGAGAGATCTAAAGTGAGTTGAAGTTAAGATTTCAAAAAAGATAATATATGTGATGCAAGAAATTTAATGCGAATAAATGGTGTCTTGGTTTCAAAAAGGAAAAAATTCAAAGGATATTGAAGGAAGTCCCTTGTCAAAATGTGTAGAAGTTCCTGCAAGCAAATCAAGTGCCGCAGAAACAATAAGGACTCTGTGTGTTGTTAAAATTCCAGCAACATATCCCCGTAGGGTCTCTTGCCAGTGCACCTGTCAAATTTGAAGAAATGTTGAAGAATGAAGTTGTTTATTATACTTCAACAGACAAGGAATCCTTATAATCAATGTCTTATGCCCAAGGAAAAAAAGGATGAAGGAAACATGGTCTTAGCACATTTGATCTTTGTTGTTCTTATTGGAAACAGACGTGTATAAAGTCTTAGGTTCATGTACAATAACTATAACAATCATGTCCTCAAGAAGCTGCTCTTTAAAGAACTTTCTTGTAGACTCTTGGAATAGTTAGTGCCTGACTAGCCCCAAAATCTAGCCCATGGGGTGAAGGTTTTTCCCCACTTATAACCACTATTCAGGACATATCACTATTGAACCTGTCTGAGTGCTAATCACAACAAAAACATTCAAAATTCTCATTGCCTAAATTCTTGGCATCTCAACTTGATAGCAGAGCAGGTTAAGCCCTGCTTCTGCTCTGTTCCTGAAGGCTTCTGCCATTTGGTCCAGCAAAATTGTTTAAACCCTTAGTTGCATGGTTGCACCTCTTATTTTATTTTTAAAAGGGCGCCGCCACTGACCTACCCATTTTCCCTATATTTGGAAATCATTTTAGAAGCTGCTGACCAGCCAGCATATCATGCACTGTCCCTGGAAAACACTCAAGAAGCCACCACTCGCAGATGCCTTCTCGGCCCACATAATTCACGCACTGCTTGTCACCGGAACTCCACACCGACCACCTAAACTGGGGACACGAGCCTCTCGTCAGTTAGATTGTTGGCTAACGGTTGTTTGGTAAGATTTCCTCTTTGTCACCCTTTTATTTGCACCCGAAAAAATATCAACAGAAAACACTCAGTCAGGCCAAAAACATGTAATGATGACCCTTCTATCTTTATTTGCAGAAACCCCCAACTATCACCTCATAAAGCTCAAAGAGAAAAACCATTTAGTTTGGTCTACATCACTTGAATTTAGAGAGAAAGGTCTGACATTGGTTCTGAATGACTTGAGATTGAGTTCTTGGTATGTGTATTTACAATAGAAAACAAGTACAACCAAATTGTAGTTGGAAATCAAATTCAAGACAGTCTTATCACTTTAGTTGATTCCAAAGTTATCAATCTCAGGGAATAGCAGTGCTATCAAGGGAGAGTGGCATGGCGAAGAGGCCGGCCGCTATGCTACAGCACATCGTGTGTCAGTTTGAAATCATGGCCGCAATTGGCTTTGTTGCGGGTCGCCGGAGCAGAACGCTTCCCAGCCCGGAGCAGGTTACAATCCGCTATCTGTTTTGGAACAGAAATACCACATTTACCCTTAAAAAGATAACCTTGGAAGACTTTTTCTGTCTCTGGTTGATTCATGACAACCAGAAAGCCAACCAAAGTAGAAAAGGTTGGAGGATAATATCTTTGGCATCATGTAGCCAACCCCATTTAGTGGGATAAGACTTGGTTGTTGTATAAATTTTAACACTATTTTTAAAAAATTGTAAATAGAATATTTTGAATATTTTTAAAAATTCAATGTTTTTAAAATACATTACCACTCCTCCATTTTCTCCAATTTCCGATAATTTTACTCTTAACTTTCAATTACTTCACTAAATTTCAGAGAAGTGTGTGCTACCTATAATCATAATCAAAGCCCGCTTCCAAGTTATTGTTAGAATATAAGGAAATATATTATGATATCTTTGATAATATAATATATTAGAGTATCTTAATTAATCTCGTAGGACCGGTTTCCAATCCTAGAGTATCTTAAATTATCTCCTAAGATCAGTTTCCATATTACTTACCCTGATTTATTTTCTGATTTTCCTTTTTATTTAGGATTAGGAGTAATATATCCCTTAAATTAATAGCTAGTGTTCAGCCTTTAAATCAAGCTAGTATCGAATCATTACCAATAATATCACAGAATTATCATATTCAATGGTCAGATGACCCATAACTTCAACAGTCATACCTGAAGTACAACTTCATTTCTTTTCAACTTAATTGACTTTGTTCCATCACTTTTGGTGGATATATAATGGCCATTGGCAGTTGAAGTTGATAAGCTGTACCCTTGAATGAGCTTTACTAGTCCAATTTGGTTCCCATGAGAAGCAAACATCAAAGTTGAATCTACAATCAGAAAAAGCATTTTCAATATTTCTTGTTGTTTATAAACTAATGCTAAGCTTGTACAAAAATGAAACAAAATTGTGTTGGTGAAAAAGGATAGACAGATAAGATAGGTAGGTTGGATAAATTTAAATTATGTGTATACATATTTAAGCACCTAATGGTGTAGAGAAGATACGATCAACTTCCGCTTCAAACATAAATGGTGTTGGGCCACGAATTGAACCAACATTAGTCTCAGTAGGTTGATTTTCTTCAAGAACTTTCTCATTGTCCTTAGCTTCTTGAGAGGCCCCTCCTGGCAGAGAATATAAAGCCAAACCTGTCCTGTCCTCATCAAGTATAGCAAACTGATTTTCATTGGAGCCGATAAATGCTGCGTCTCGACCTACAAGATAGTTACTTGAATTATTTAAACATTATGCAAGAACTAACTCTAACAGAAAGAGATAATATATTTCACGGGAAGAAATACCTTTTACTGTGCTGCTTTTACTGCTTCCTGTCTGTGCATCACTATTTTCCCAGTAAAGCACAACTTCATTTGTAGCACCACTAAATTCGTAAACTACGAGAAATAAGCGCTGCTTTTTACTGTGAATCAAATATTTTGCTCGGTAATCCACATTTCCAGGAATCTATAGATAATTAATGAACAATATTACACTGTTGAATTAGCCTGATAATAATTACAACATATCAATGTTGTGTAAAATGAAAGTTTGACGGAAATCCAAATGCAAGATACTTGTCAAAAATATAACTACATTACCGAATTGTAGAGCTTCCTGTAGATAGTGTCAGACCCAGAAGAAAGGTTATGTGCCATAAGGTTCAGTCCGTCCATATAGAACGCCCTGGATGGATAATGAAGAACTCGGTTTGCTTTATTAAAAAAATTTAGCTCCAAATGAAATGGCTGGCAGGGGATATGCGGTGTCAGGTGAAAGAAAAATAATCTAAGCAAATGTCTTGAATCAAATAGTCACCACAATCATACCTCACAAACTGGAAAGTCCTTCAAATGATGCTTGGTATCTAAAACAGTAATGAGGGGCAAGCGTGATATTGGAGAGATTCTCATATGGCCCTCCATGAAATGCTACAAAATCCATGCAAAAGTAACTGTCAGAAAGAATTGAAAAAGAAAGACCTCTCACATCACTGCTTTGCCTCCTAACATGTGTATATGTAATGCATTGTTATAGTATGAAAATGAAAATCATCTTTTTCCGCATTGCTCTACTGCAACTTCTCTTTGAATAAGTTTCTTCTAAAAAAAAGAGGTTTTGACACTTGTAAAGAAGCTAAAATTGTATGCGCTGCTTAGTTATGTTGTCTCTGGTATCTGTTTCTGGGAAGAAATGCTCGAATTTTTAAGAGTTATTTGTCATCTCTATACTACATTTGAGACAGTCATTTTCTCAGATTGTCTGCTGTGAATTGCTCAATATGACTATTTGGAGGAATCTCTTTGTCAGAGATGCGGAGAGACTCGATCTCTCAGAAGCTACTTAATTGGAGAAACTGTTTTATGTATTCGCTTTTACTGTAAAAAAATATTACATTTTCAAAGTTTCAATGAGAAACAGTAAAAAAAAGTGATATTTCCTATACAAAATTTTAAAGGAAAGAAAGTGACATTTTTGTGGTTAAAAGTAAAACAGATATCAAAATAGAAAACATTTTCTCAAAGTAAATTGACCCTTTTCTTGCGAACGAACTCTCTAGGTTTTTCTTTTTCTGTTCTTCCGTCAAAAAATTCCTTTCTCTAATCAGGAAAAAATTATAAGGAATCGCAGTCTAGAATGCTAAACTAGCTCAAGGCCATAGCTAGAAACCTTTCAAAGGCTTTTTTAGGAAATTAAATGAAATGCATTAAGGAGGTTTGAGTTTCTGTGCTTCTTATATCTGACACTAAGGTTAACACTAGAATATGATGATTATCTTGTGACAATAAACTTCTATACAATAACAAGAAAGAGATGTACACTGTAAAGAAATGCCTTCCTTGCAATGTCTGTTACTGTAAGATGACTCTGGCTGCAAGATAGAGTGCAGATGTCAGCACTTAAAAAACATGGATCACTTTATGACAAACCATATGTGCCGAAAACAGTAAACTAAGGGAGAAAGTAATCAAGCACTAGTTACAGAGGAATCTGTTTTATTTCTCATCTCAAACTACTGACTTAAAGATGCTTCGTCAAAATAATATGCAGACCCCTTGGGAACCAAGCACCTCAATACTACGTTATTAATGATCCTTGTACCCAGGATTAGATGCTGCACCAAAGACTTTTAACAATATTGTGTTACAAATAAAACTCATATTCAGATATAGGTATTACGTTCAAATTCAGATAATAAGATGTGCTGCACAATCAACACTAAAAACTCAACAAAAATTGCAGGGGAATTAGAGTCTAAAGAGGGTATATAATTAACTTGCCACTCTAACAATATTATTTTGCAAATAAACCCCATATACAGATACAGGTATCGCCTTCAATTTCAGATAATAGGGTGTGCTCCAGAATCAAGACCAAAAACTCAGAATAAGAATAGCATGTGATTTAGAGTATAAACAACATTATATAATTAATTTGTCGGATGCGAACAACAAAAAAGGAAGTAACTGATATCCATTGATTGATCTATCTAACTTCAGATTAGAACTCACCCTTTCAGATGATGCTCTTGTAGTTGAGCTTGAAGCTGATGTTCTGCTAACACCCCAGATGCTCCCAAGGCTGAAAGTTTTTCCTTTAAAACAGATGCTGCATAGAACCCCTATCATCAGCATATCTGATTATAGAGATGGTGAAACAGAAGAAATGTATACAAACATGACGTGCAAGATACTAATTGACAGAATTGAGTGGAAGAGACAGTGTTCAGCAACAACTACAGCAAATGTGCACCAAAAGATGCACAAAAGAAATGAATGCAATGATAAATAATGAACATAGTCCATATAACCATATTTATCTCTATTTTGTAGTTCCTAAAACTATTTCATGTTTTTATTCTCCGAGACTTACACCATCCCTATTCCAAGGCCAAATTCCAATATATGGAACTCTTTTGTTTGATATACTCTTTCCACCTACCTCGATTTTCAGCAATAGTATTTTTCCTAGCCACTGCTAGTGACATACTTCAGCCACCGAAATGCTAGAATTTATACACATCTTCAAGGTAAAAAAAGTGAATACTTCAAACATAACAAAAGGATGTTAATGGAAGAAATTCTAGGATGTCGATGTTGAGAATTTGGCAAATTCCTTTCTCTCCTATTTTTCTAACACCGTTTTCAAATTTTGGAGATATTTGAAATATTCTGTTGAGATATAATATTGTTTTATTATTAGTATTTATTGTTTTATTGTTTTTTAATTCTTAGTATTATCTTTCTCTTAATCAGTGGGATTGGTTAGGAGGCTCAGACCTAATATATCTTTTCCCTAATTAGTGGATTAGTTAGGAGGCTTAGGCCTATATATATGTGTACTCTCTCCATAATAGAATAAATTCAGATTCAAGTTGGTATCAGAGCTTGGTTCCGATCCAAGGACTTTTGAGTTATGTTCCTCATTTAGAGTCCTTACAGTGTGAGTCTTGTCAGTTAGGAAAACATATTAGAGTTTCCTTTTCCAGTCATATTAATAACGGAGCCATGTCTCTATTTGATGTTGTTCATTCCGATGTTTGGGGTCCTAGTTGGATTCCTTCTATCTTAGGGTATAGATATTATGTTACTTTTATTGATGATTTCTCAAGATGTACTTGGGTGTTTTTAATGAAAAAAGACCGTTTTGAGTTGTTTAATATTCTTAAGAATTTTTGTTCTGAAATCACGACGCATTTTGGCAAAAAAGAATATGAGCATTTTACTATGAGCGTATTTTCCACATTTTAAATATGAGCAAAGAGGTAAATAATCAGCTACCCCGTGAAAACAAGCATTGAAGTTCAGAAGAATTATCATACAACAGAATTTTCTGGGTTGATGGATGGGTATAGCAGCCAAAGTAAATTCAGATACAATCAATAGCAATTTTAGAGGTTTAGTTTGAGAAAATGTTTACTATTTTATTTTTTGTTTTCACTTAAAACATGTGGCATTGTTACAATTAAAGGTGATTAAGAATTAAAACAGAAAATATTTTCTCAAACCCAAGGCCCCTTATTCAGATAGAAAATAATATGAAATACTTAATGTATGTTTGGATTATCTTATTTTAGAACCCCAAGAAGTGTTTTCGCAGATACTAGAGCGAATTTGAAGAGTGATTCTTTCTACAATATAAGTTGTTAGCATGCATGCTCTGCTATAAGGACTCTCTTAACTTTAATAGATAAAATGAAAACAATCACCTGAAGATCCCCGTGCACTTTGCAAAACTGTAAAAAGCTGCTTTCTCCCTTCTTTACTGTATGAGGCCTTATTTTTTGAAGTGTCTGCACTCGTCACATTCTGTCAAAATAAAGATCAAGTTTATTTATATTCCATATCATCCCATAGAAGCTAAGGCATAATTAATGCAAGGTACCACGTAACTGCAAACACTAGTGCAGCTAAATTCAATTTTGGATGAAATTCTAAAGCTTTAATTCGTGGCAATGGATAAACTGCTTCTCCACCCTGTTGAGAAAGGATGCGAGGGATATCAATTGATTCAATTGCTGCACCAGAATGTATACATATTAGCCAAATATTTTAATAGAAAATAATACTAAAAGAATGAAGTAAGACCGCTGTTTGGGTGTGTCTGTCATATGCATGTACAAAAAGATTCTAGAAGTATGGGGTTGGGGAAAATGTAGCAGCAGAAATCATCTACAATATACTTATTACTTAAAACCAACTGGTAGTAATCAGGTATTCAACGTAAAGGAAAAAAGGGGTCAAGATATCTAACCTGCAGGCTCAAAAAAGTTAGCCTGAGTAGCAGGTCTATTAGGATTAACTGTAACACGTGTTTCCCAAACGTGTAGATTTCCATCTTTAGATAGAGTTACAAGTAAACGCAGCATGGGAAGAAAGGCAACTGATTTAATTGGTTGTGAGCCAACTTGTTTTCTGAAATTTTAATATGAAAATGTCAGATCTAATCTTAAATAAAAGTAAAATAACATTCTGAACCCTAAACTTGTAAAGATAACTGCACGATAAGTCTTGGTTATGGAATAAGGAAAACTATATCACAAGTAACTACACTCACATTCCGATCATACTTGGTCTCTCTGTTGATACATCCCATGCCAGAAGTGTACCCTTCCGATCCCCAACAAAAATCCACTCCAGAGTTGGATGAAATGCAAATGCACCAGCCCCGATAAGCTTAATTGTATTGTCAACTAAATAGAAAACAAAATATAAATAATACTGAATATAGGATTGACAATAAAATTAAAAATATAAACCATGTGAACAACAAGAAAAGAATGTGCAGGAAACATCTTACGTTGAAGTGTGTAATGAACAGCATAGGTATGAATGTTATATGCCCGAATCAACCCTTCTGCATAAGCAACATACTGTGATGGGAAAACAATCAAATCAAGGGTTGAAGTATTAATATATCATTATCATAAGAGATTTGACATCAGACATGTATTACTGCAGAAATACGCATCCCATGAATTTCCGGCAAAGAGAAATCATAATAAGAAGTATACTGCACACATTATTACCAGTACAGGGAGGCGAGGATGACAAGCAAGATTTACGATAGCTTTCTTCAAGTCTGGCTTGATTTTGGTAGGTGCCCGGCCGCCTTCAACAGTTCCAACAACTTCATTTACAGAAAAAACAGACATTGAACAAAAAGCATCACCATCAGTATTCAAACCACAATAAATGCATTACTCTAAAGACATGATAGACCAGAATCAACCTGTCACACTCATTCTCTTAGGGAACCCAAAAAACACAACAGGTTGGAGTGGGGTTAAAGCCATGTGAACTTCTGCATCAGAAGAAATTTGCTCGGTCTTTTTCTCAGGTGAATGCAGTACACAAGTTTGCTCCAAGTCAAAATCACAAGATCTTATCGTACAATCCTACAAATGTAAAAGCAACATGTGCAGTTACTTTAAAAGAACTCCAATCAAAATATACAAGTTACAAACTAATACGACATATTAAGGGGCACTAGTTCAAAATTTTAAAAAAAAAGCCTGTATAGTTTTATTTCCCAAGTACTAGAATGAATAAATATTAACCAATGAAATTCACAAGGTAAACTAAACGGGTAACCAAATTAAATAAAAATAAATAAATAAATAAGCTAAAGTGACACAAAGGTTCAACTGAACAACAATATCAGTCCTTATGCATCACAGAACAAAATAAAAGTTATATGCATTATTTTTAACATTACTTTCTTATGTAATATGGTTTCTTTTTCAGTTCTTCATAAAAATAAAAAATAATAATAATAATAATAATAATAATAATAATAATAATAATAATAAACACTTCAGCAAACCACAATGTTGTCCCACCATCCCGCAAGATACATCCATCAGGATTTTATTTGCATATTATTGACTCTAGCCAAAGTACAGATTACATTCCAGGACATCATTTACGGGCATCAAGAGAACAACTAAACTACAAACACTTCATAATATTTCTGATTAAATCACAATCTTTTGCAACACCAAGTCCTTCTATAGTTATTACTTTTCCATTTAGGATTTAATACCCAGTAAAAAGATTGTATGATGAAAAGTTCAGGCAGGCCAAACCTGGAGGATTGCAATCACAGTGTGTCCACTTGTTGGACTGTAAGACATTCGAACAGCAGGCGCACCAATGTCAAGAGCGGAAATCTTGCTTCCAGTTAATGCATCAAATTCTGCATGCATGGAAACAAACCAACAAGTAAAATAATTGTGCCCAAATCATGTCAACAGACAAGGAAATGCATCATGCACCAATGATAAGTTCATTTGACATAGAAACTCACAAGATTTTAAAAAGTGTGAAACTATTTTATTTATAAAATACTGCTATAGTTCCATATATATGCTTTCAGTAGTTGACAAACTCACTACTGTTGGTTACATGGTGTACTGAATTAACAGTAGTGAGTTTTTCAACATAAGAAAATAAAAATTACACGGTGTCAACAGACCAAGCATTGTGCTTTTTCTCAATAGATGATGTTGGTTACATGAATTAACAACACCATCATGCCATATCATGAATCGTGTGACCATGCCCAATGATTGGTCTATTTTTATCCAAAACTCTCTTAATGGCTTGGCTTACAACTTTCCTTGGTCTTTCTCCAACTCTAACTATTGGATTATCCTTCATCTAATCTAACCTCCTGACCAGTGCTTTTCGGGTCTCCTCAACATGCCCAAATCACCTAACACGAGACCTTACCATATTTTCTACAATGGGCATTCACCCAACTTTTTCTTTGATGTTTACTTTTAATCGGAACTTGTCTTGTCTGACTACTCATCTATCACAATATTCCCATTTCTATAATACTAACCTTACTTTCTTGGTAGCTTTTCACAGCTTAGCATAAAGTCCCATAAAGGCAAATTATATTGTTGTGTACAGTAAAATAATCCTTCAGGCTTGAGCAGTATTCTTATATCACATTTTCACATATCACACCATAAACATTCCTCCATTCCATCCATCTTGCTTGGATCTTATTGCTGATCTCCATTACTTTGAAGGATTGAATACGAAAGATACTCATATCCTATAAAGTAACACTACTATGGTGCCAAGTCTATATCTTAAACCCATATTCGACACTCCCCTTGAATGAATCGCTAACAAAACATATCCAAGAAAACACATATCTAACTTTAAGTTCCGTATACGTCCAACACCGTTAAGTGCGGCACAGACAAGGACATTTAAAATTGAAAAAAAAATAATAAGTACAGATGCGCCCGTTTAAATTTTAATAATATAAAAATAAGGCAGGTTCATTTTTATACTACAGTTAACTTTTTTTGCTGTACATGTACTTCTAGATAGTTAATTCTATAACTAACACATGTTTGTCAAAGAAAAAATCGAAAAGGCTGATAGGAATTATGATGTCTGTGTTTCTACAAGGGGCATACAAAATTGTAAGTATTGGCACATATAATACTGAGATGCTATACATCTTGAAGCTTTACACGCAAAAATTGGCTCATCTCAGTGCCAGTGTCTGCTTCAAAGTTCATAACTATGATTAGTGTGTATCAATGGCTCAGATGTCACAGATCAAATCAATAAGAAGAATGATCCTTCCGGATTCTGCTATTTCTGCAACAACTAGCAGATGTGGGAAGGATCAATTCTTTAATTTGATTTTTTGTGTCAATAATCAGAAACGAACTTCAAATTTGCATAAATAGAATAACGCAGTAACCTCGTCGTCATGATAATGAAACACAGTGAACTTAAAAACTTGCAAAATCCAAAAAAAAAAAAAAGTTTAAGAGAGTGAAATTGTTCGCTCACCGACGATGTAGGTTCCAATGGCGACAGCAACGAGAGCTTGATGAGGATGGAAGGAAGCAGCGTGAGGCTGCAAAGGCCTAACGCCACGCCCTATATGGCGCAGATCTAGATGCTGCAACGTACTCCACTCCATTGAATCGCGTTAATCAAACTCAACCTACAACTTCAGTGCATCACGAAATCACAAACAGATGAAGCAGAATTCAGATCTTGAAGGAAGAGTGGACGCTACAAACAACAAGGAAATCTGTAATGGAATTGAAAGAGAAGAGGATTGTGAAATCGCGAAGCACAGCGATGAACTCCGATGCAGAAGTAGGACAGTAACACCGAGAAGAAAGGGCGATGCTTTGATTTTCTTTTGAGTTGAAAAGAAGAAATGAAGACCGGAAAATATTTTTCCACAAGTGAATTTGTTAGGATTTACCTTGATACTCCACTTGAATCTGCACCCTTAATTTGAGGAATTTTAACGTAATATCTTTAGATGAATTTAAAAAAATTTAGATATTTACAGATTTTTATAAAAAAAAAAAAATTAGAAATTTATAGCTTTTTTACCACAATTATGTCACATGTATGGTGGATTTAAATTTTCCGATAAAAATATATGGAAAATTTCACAATTTTTAGAAGAGATATATCGAAAATTAAAGAATTTTTTTAAAATGTTACAATATTTTGAAATTTTCATAATTTTCAGTGTGAGTTTAAAATTTTAAAAAAACTTAAATTTTCGGTATTTTTGACACAGAGTCTGCATAACTGTTTCGATGAAAAAAACCACCAAATATAATTAATACATATTTTCCAAAAAAAAATTGTTACATACAATATTACAAAACGAATTAGAATGACTTCATAACTTCATTTTCCTAGTTCCTAATGCGTCTTACATATTTTGATTCCAATGCTTTTACAACTTCAGTACAGTTCTGTCTCTAACGGTCAGTGATGGGAGGCAATGGACTATTAGGTTTCAACTCAATGATTGTTGCTGATAAAGTCAATAACAATGATTTTATATCTGGTCGTATACATAGGTGGAATTAAGGTAAGAGGGAAAAATGTAATGTTAAGTCTCTTTGACAGGGAGACTAATATGACATTGTACCTACAAATAATAGCGTAACCCATATCAGGAATCTTCGTCCATTTTTCTCAACCCTGCACACCCAAGTGTTCTACTTTTAAGGCATTCATAACTTTAGAGATCGTGTCATAGAACAAATTGAAAAACAATTTAGAGTGTTGATGAACTTGAGTATCTAACTGCGTCTGAACCAACGGTCATGACTCTTCGCCCCATCCAAGTAAACCTGCAATTAAGGGTGGCGAAACGGGCTATGGCACGCAGGGCCATCCCGCACACCCGTCAAAAAATAGCGGGTTGGGTTAGGATTTTGGGTCTGCCGTCCACCAAAGCTTGCCCTGCTAAAGACTGCCACCCGCCAAAACCCGCTCTGCCAAAACCAGCCGCTCGCGAAAGACCGCCACAATTATTCGTTCAGCTTGTCTCACCTTAAACCCGCCTTTTTTTAGTTAATTCTAGTCATTCCAATTCTTGATGATTTTATTTTTTACATTTATTTGAGAATATATGCAATATTTTTTGAAGTAAAATTTGTTTAAAAGATACTTTATAAAAATTGTTCTAAAAATTAAGTGAAAAATCTAATTGAAATGTAAAAACAAGTCTATTAATCTATTTAAAAAATTAAAAAATAAATAAATAAAAAAGTAGGTGGGCAAACTCGCCGCCTTGGCGGGACGAGTTAGATTTTTATGCCCATTTCCACTTGGCGGGCTTACCCGCCCAGCCTTTTTTTTGGAGGACTTAAGGCAGGGTAGGGCGGGCAGCCCGTTTTGCCACCCCTGACTGCAATAGCCCGAAAACCATAATTTTCATCGTCACCCACATCAACAATGTCATCAATGTATGGATACAAGTAAACAGGAAACTGAGACAAGTGGAAATGCTTCGAATATGTAGTGGACGATTGACTTTGACCCGGCAGAATTGACGGTTGACTTCCTGTTAGTTTTGTGCATGATCTCTTTATAGTCTGACTCCCTGCGAGACCTCACCACACACCCACTATGAAGAATCATGATTCACATCATTTTCTTCATCCTTTATGATTTTCTTAACTCCTCTATTTAACTTGTACTTCACCGGTCGTGGACACATAGAAGTTATGGATGGGTGTGTTAGTTCCCGAACCTTTTTCTTCAACACTTTCCGGCCTATAATATCCAATGTATTGAAATATATCTTCAACTTCTCACACTCTACTTCTAAACTCAATTGTTTACCACTTTCTTCATTACTGACATCACGCTATTCAATATGTAATTTCTTCTAAAAAGAACATGAATTGGATCTAAAGGAACATGGTTGCCTTGTATTTGGAAACAGGCAAGTTGACATGCATAGGGTAACCCATGTGTTATTCTAATGAAGCAACCACAAGCATCTTTGTTTGTACCGACAAATTTTACCCTTTCTAGTTCCTTTCCAATATGTTGTATACACTACCTTGAAACAAAACTGTGCAAGTTGGTATAGAATGGAGTGTTATACCAAAGCTCAATATTGGCAACAAAAAAATTAAAACGAGACCCTGATTGAACCTAGCTGCAACTTCAACATGGTGTTCACAGCATCCCAACTTTGGCATAAATCTCCCCCGCTTGTAGTCAACACAGTTTTTAGTCTTCAATGAGCAGACTCCATCCTAAAAACCATAATTAAACCATAATGAGTCAACATGATAAATTATGTTTAGTAATCTAATAACATCAAAAAGACGTTTGTGTACCTGTTTGTTGTTGTGTTCCCTAAATGAGTGACTTTGTTAGTCCAAGCAGCAACAAACATTTCTTTATAAGGTGTCAACCATATTTCACTCACATACTTAACAAACAAAGGAATATCAGCAGAAACAATCTCAAAGTGCTTCAAATGTGAGACAAACTCAGTTTCTCTGTTAGCATACATGACGTTTTTCCATAGGCCCATGATATGTTCATGTCTTTCTGATTTTAACATACTTTTTGCATTTCATGCTAACATTTTTTGAAATATGGAACGAACACAACAAATATGTTGAATTTGGAAACACAACTTCAATTGCATTCATCAACACAAGTTCTCGGTCCGTCACCACAAGCTTCGATAGCAATTTCTCGGAAGAGAACAACTCTTTGAAATTCTCCAGTATCCATTTGAATTTCTCCTCCCTTTCATGTTCAAAATAGGTAAAGCCTACCGAAAACGTCAATTTTGTTGATGGAACGCCAAAAATCTCAAGTAGTGGTAGTCGGTACCTGTATGATCACGATGCACATAATCAAAAATCTGATAAATCAAAGTATGTCAAAATGATATCAAAGTATGATCACGATTCACATTACCTATTTGTCTTGTATGTACAATCAAAAATTAACTCCAAATGAAATATATTCAATAACATCACTGAATCAAGATGTGTCCAGAAGATATCAGCAACAACATTTGAGTCTTTCCTATTTTTAGTCAAGCAAATATATTTTTCTCTATGAATAAGAGTCAACAATATTTACATTTCTGTTAATGGACCTCTCTTGCTCACATTGCATATAGCTCTAGCTTTATACACCTGAGTAACACTGGTGAGGTTTTTTGGATCTTTGTCTTTCAAAGAAGAAGATATGTATTGTGGAGCCATGTTGTACTTCGTCATGTCATTCACAAACTGTCTTTCATGAACTTTTGGACGACCCAATATGTCATGGTCTTTTAAATCCTTAGATAGTTTATGATTATGCAACACACACCTAACTGTCACCTTCCAACCATTACCACTCGGCGCACAGATCTTAGTATAAAAGGATATTTCACTTCCATACTATAAATGCCCTTTGAGGATTTATTGCTTTCAGATACATTCTTTCTTTTATAATTTCCTCTTATCTCACAACCCATAATTAATTTATCTTTCCTGCCTCGTTTGTCATTTGCAGTATCAGAAAGAACATTTAAAATAATAATATCATGTTATTTGTCAATATTATGTGCTCATGTTAATACTTCAGATCAGGACTTAAATATCTGCCATTTACATCACTTAAAAATTATATTATCAATATCATATAGAGACGAGAAAATATTTAAATTAAACTTGTTACATAAAAAACATATTACGTTAGTGGTGAAGAACTGCATAAACCAGTACACAAATTTGTAGATGATCCTGCCGGCTCTGGACCACACAAATAAAGCATTTTTTCTGTCTTCTGTTCTGTTACCGGAAATTTCATATATATTCAAAGTTTTTGGTGTACCAGAAATTTGCAAATTTCCAGAAATTTTTGTTTTTCCCCCAAAATTTTGACAATTTCTGGTATGGGTTTAAGATTTTCCAAGGTAATACTGAATTTTTAAAATTTGGTATTTTTCTCTGGAAATTTTCAAATGCCTGATATAAATGCGTGAATTTCAAAAAATGCAAAAATTGCGTACCGAAAATTTTGTTTTTAGTATGTTAGTAAGAGTGAAAATCTTGGAAGAAAAGTAAAATTTGATTGATAAATAATTGCAAGAGTATTTTTGAAATTTTAAAATCATGGGGGATGTCAGGTATAAATGGAGAGTGACAAGTTAAATTCTCAAATTTCTTTTCTTTATTAGAAACTTATTATAGGCTCAATAGTATTTAGCCATATCAAAATACAAATTTGTTTTTGTATTTATTTATTTTGTAAAATCAAATGTTTAAAAGGATCAATTAAGGAAACGAATGAGTTGCGTCGAGTTAGGTTTTTAAAGTCTGTATCTGTCCTACTAAAAATTTTATAGTCTAAGTTTGGACTGTAGTCTATCGTAGACTTATTTTTAAGCTAAGGTCTTTTTGAATGTCTAATTGGCCTGTTAACATGCTTAAAAACTTACTCCATTTTAACATTTGTAAATATGAAATTTAATTAATTTAAAATAGACCAATGAATTAAAAGATCAATGAGATTAAATATTTATTTTCATTGACTCATTCAAATTTACCTATTAAAATTATATTTAAATATAAAAATACGAATTTTATTTTTAATTAGAATTAAACATATTAAAATCAAATATATTGAAATCATTACAAA